GTGTCTAATTATATAATTATCTTTGAACCTCATCGATGCTGTTTCCTGCTTCGATGCTACCTGTGCTTTCCTGAGAATTCATGTGCGCCATTGTGTCACCACTGCATCAGCCTTTAATTGAAACGGTGATTCATAATTTTGCAAGTTTTAATAACGCCGCGCGGCCCGTGGGAAGACGGCGGGGTTGAAATTGCACGTTTAATACTCATTGTTCGACAGTCGGGTTTTCGACTCGCGATTAATCGCAGCCTTCCGTCATCTTGTGTCTTTTCAACCGGGCGATGATTCAGAATTTTAATACCGTTTCACTTTGAAGGATTAATAACGAAGCTATGAATTGAAATCAACTCAGCGGTAGTTGTCTCAAGATCGCACATACAGATTGCAATTTCTCACAGTTTTAGCAATAATCCATTGTAATTTAAATACAATTGTATTACTGGTGTTATTAAAAATTTGGTTAGTGTTACCAATGGGTAAATATTTATGCAGATTTACGTTCAAAGTTTGCATCTTTACGTATCAAAAAAAAAAAAAAAAAAATGGAACATAAAATTGAAAATTTTTAATTAATAACGACAGAGAAAGAATGGAGTTTGAGCAGAATATAGAGCATGACAAGTGTTCTATATTGTACACGCGGGACATATGAGAAAAATATGATATAATTTATCTAACTTTCACATCGCACGGTGATTAAGAAGAAGTATTTTAATATAAAGTAATTGAAGAAGGAAATACTCCGATAAATTCGAAGATATGAATCTCTGAATTTTCCACAAACGCGTAAAAAGCCGCAGTCTAGTAATTAACTATTAAAAATCTTCCTGTAGTTAACTGTTTTCCAACTTCCACCGCGATTTGCAATTTTACAGGCAAAGTGACAAGATGGCGGACCGTGGGAAAGAATGCAGGGAAAATAGGTGATTAGTATTCATTGCGAGCACTTGTTCAAGGCGATTGCCGTGCGTTTGTTTTCATCGATCGAGGAACAAATCGTGAACGTGCGTGACGCATCGACTTGACAAAGACTAAACTCATTGATCGACAAGAAACAGCCGTAACAGCCGCACCCTACCGCGAGGATTACGAAGACAGTCTCACGATGATGATGGAACTGCGTACAGGGTGTCTCAGTAATTATGTATATTCAACCGGACATGAGTCAAATACATGATGAAGACTGTGTCACTAACAATAAAAAATTGTCGATTTTTTAATATAATAATTTGCCGTAATATCGTAAAAAAAAAAAAAATTACATAACGATCCACTTGGTCTAATTTTAAAGCGTAAAGCTTCTACTTTAACATTTCTTTCAAAGGTGTTTTCATACTGCCCAAAAATTGTAAAAATTTGAAAATTGTACAAATTCGAACGTTTGAAAAAAATTTTGTTCGTGATTAGAATCACGATCTTGAAGAACGACTTCTGAAAACTTACAATACGACTCCTTCTCGCCGTTTATTGAGCTATTAATATTAATTAAACGATATTAAGATTTCTTGAGTTTCAAATCTAATGGTCAAAATTCAATTGGCGGGAAAAAATTTTTACAGCAAGTTTGAAGATGTTGTTGTAAAGTGAAAACCTCAAGTGGTAGACTTTTTAATGTTTTAGAGAAGTTTTACAATTTTCGAGAACAAAAGTATTTACATACAAGACTATTATTATTATTTTATGATTTTTTCTTACAAAGTTACAACAATTTAAAATATCGACAATTTGTCATCGTCAGTAGTGGAATTATGTTCTTCATTGTGCTTCAACAACAAACCTTCAAATTCAACTTTTTCCAAAAGCAACAGTCGCACGAAAAAAATTTTGTCCTTCCACTTTATTTTTTCCTTCCTGATTATAGTCTGATTATGCGACAAATATAAAACACT